ATCGAAATTCATATTAGCCCCGTACGAGCGTTTGATTCTAACTCAAATAAGGCTCACATATGATAGGATGACCTCGCTGGGGTGGCCATCACGCATATCTACAAGCCAAGCATTCCGTCCCACCAATATCCCTTGCCGAATACTCGTCCTTATGCAGTGGTGCCACCCGTGAGTAATCCTGTTGATATCTTTGTCCATTCCAGATTTAAATGTACTGCAGGATTATCATTTAGAAAGCTCCACCGACCCGGACACCAAGGTAGTCAAAAAGCAATTAGGGGCGACTAGAACACATCTTCGTTCCAGTGATCCAGTATCTGACGGCCATTCCATAATGGAAAATGGCCATTGCTCGTAGGTATGAAAGATCAGATAACGTAGTACTAAAGACTTGTTAGGTGCAATCATCGGTGTAAGGACAAGACAACCTGTCACCATCGCTGGTAGGTCGGATGGTTCATAGTATTTCCTCTTGACAACTATTTGCAGCTGCCAACAAGGATTGTCCAGGCCACCACCAGGGCATGATGGGGCCTCTGTGAGGCTGAGAAAGAGAGTAAATTCAGATCAAAAGGGTACTAAAGAATCTCTCCGCCACAAACAGAATGACACAAACCAGACGAAAAGAGACAACGAAGATATGTTAAATAGAAAAGACTCTCTGCTCAAACAACTCGATAAAATGCATCAACGGACGAGAACCAAGTCAGGTTTCAGTTTAGATTCTCGTATCACTATACCCTCCAAACGAAGTGCTGTCAACATCAAGGAACCGGATGAGATTTCTTCTCCCATCAGTTCTTTCTCTTCCCAAAAGAATGACAGACCAGCCGTCTATGGTGTAGATGACTACTCTGATCACGAGATGGAAGAAGCAATGGCATCGTTACCCATTCCGACACTTACAGGCCGCGCCTCTCATACGGCATCTCGTGTGCTCAAGCGTGATATACCGGAATACTCTGACAATGAACGGCCTCGAAAGAAGCTCAAAATTTCACTTGATGAAAAACGGGATGCCGAGAGGCCTCCCATCAAGCGCATCAATTCGGAAATCATCGAGATTGATCCCACAGATTCCTCCGCAAGTTCTACTCAGGTGAATCGTGATGAGATCCAGCGTACTAACGATTTCAATTCGAGACGCGATACCTCTCAACATCATGATTTTAATTTGGCCCCATCACCTCTCTCAGTACCTGGTTCGACACCTGATAAGAATGATCGCAACAGGATCCCTTCACGCCCTTGGAAGGCAAACCTTGGCGAAAGTCCGAATAAAGGCCAGGCGGAACCAGTGAACTATGATGACTTCGAACTTGACCTAAACTTGTTCGAAGGTGGAGAAGATGCAATCGGTCAAAGCAATCCTGAAGGAAAATACTCCAAAAAAGGAGATTATCAGATCGACTCGGGAAGGAACACAGAATTAGAGTCAAAAACGATCGTCTCCGCACTACCCATCATTGGAAGGCAGACAACAGAAGACATCTCGCCAGCTAAAGTCAACTCTGATGACCAACAGATTCGGCTTTTTGGAGATATGAGTTTTGATGAATTTTTTAGTGGGATTGAAATTGTGTAAAGCCTCGACTGGTGGTAACCGAATGAATACATAACTTTATCCTGACCACTTCCGCTTGGCTAATGTGAGATCTGTAAGTTCGATATCCCTTCATCAGAATGACGAAAGACAGAATCGCTACATTGAAGCGGTTATCTAACCGTTGATGAGTGCATTAAAATCTATACCCAAATTTCTGACTCTATGTTGTGCACCGTCAGTAGTCCACTCGTGATCACTGACAGTCTTCCTCGCAGGTGCATCAATATTTATCACGCATCCACTCTCCGGTGTGATTTTGTATGTGGACTAGTATTTTCATGCAGCCAAAGGTGCGTTTGGCCCCCGTTCAAACCTCACGCCTTCGCTATCGAATGATTACTGTAATTAATCAGACTCCTAGTCTACTGGGCTCCTTTGAGCTCCAGTAGACGAGCGGAAATTTGTCTTCAACCATATGACTGCCACCCTTCCTACACAGTTTGCAAGTGGATTGATTGACCTGGGGACTGACGAGACGATTTCCTTTTATTAGGTACAGGGGCTTGCGCGATGTATTTGTAAAAATAATATACTGTGTTTCAAAGGGATGCCCTACGATAACCATTGTAATTTACTTCTACTCTGAATATAGAACAAGCGCATACTATGGTCTGCATCGAAGGCTCCAGATTCAGACTTGATATCGGTTCCTTGGCACACTTCTTTCACGACCCCTTTCTCTAGCTCTGGCCAGGTAATCTTACAGTCTGTCGCGGTAAGAGAGAGTTCCAACTCCCGCGTGAGAACACCCAGGCGGGTTGGACATGACCACTTTAGGTCGAGACCTATGCTATGTAGTAAGCCTTTCCCAACGAATTGCCGCTTCCTATGTCTTGTAAGCTATATTTTGATAATATGTGTTAGCGTATGGAGTGGATTGACGAATGAGAATATATCAAGTCATAGATGACTTATGTAAGCGATGGAATAGGAATGCCATGAGGAGGCATGAATATAGATTGTCTATGACTAGATAACAGTCGAGCTTACTAATTTACAGCTGTCACGATTAATATCTCTGGTAGATAGTAGATGGAGTAGCGGATGGTCCTCAGGAGAGTTGTACATCACCGAACCAGTCATCAGACTGTTGGTTGGCCTCTGATCGTTCCCATTGGTAGTAAGAGAATGAAAAGAAATAGGTCTAATAAGTTCAAAGAGATTTGGCCGCTTCTTTCAATGGCGGGGGTCCTCCGCGGAGGACGTCAGAATAGAGCGGGTATTGGATATGCTGTTCCGGTTCCACATAGAATTCAGGGATCCAGGCGTCTATGAACTCTTGATCTTCATCGTCAAGAACGATGACTGGTCGTGAACCAGATTTCGGAATAAGATCGTATTCATCCACTATCGCTAGAATAACATGAGATTTTGTAAACACGGGTCGATAAACTGGTCTTACTTTTGGATTTTCCTTTTCGTTTATTGACTACTAGAGAGAGGAGAGGTACTTCTAACGACGCCGAACTAGAACCACTGGCGATGACGGTGGACCCACTCCCGGTTTCTTCATTAAGTCCGAGAATGGGGCCATCATCTGAGACCGAAGTCCCATCGGACGACATATCTTCCGTATCTTGCTCGTCTATTTCACAAAACTTGATGGTTTTTCCCCGAGGCGTGGTTCCACGTGAACGCAGTTCGCTGGGTCGTTTGTAACGCATGTCCCTGCCACGTTCTCGATTTCGTATTGTCTTATCTTGTTCTGATGGAGATTTCTGACGTATTTGAGCTGACTTGGAGGGTTCCTGTACGATGGAGTCTGGTATTGATAATGCTGAGTTGGAGGTTGTCGCAGCGATATCGGGCTTCAGAACCTCTGGTTTGGACAGTGACTCGTTTATAGTACCATATGTCATTTTAGAGGATTAAAAGGAGAGCGTGAAATGTCGGATTGTGAGGGCTGGATGATGGAAGGAGAATGTGAACCGGCCCAAGTCGGCTTGCCCAATCAGCAACCCAAACACCCCACGTTGGCTGCCACCACGCCTGTCCGGTTTTGAACAAAATTCGCCTTGGGGGATGACAGGGGAGGCAGAAGAACTTCTATCTGGTAGAGAGAAAAGTTCGAATCACCTTCGTATTGTCGGTGCCTTTGCTGGTGTTGGTTCAGGTCAGTTTAAGGCATAATAATCGTCCTTCTAATTGATACTCAGAACTCTGATTTTGTTGTAGGTTTGACAAAGGTAAGGGGCTCTGTATTGCAACACGGGGCCTCAATCACGTGTCCTATGTCAATATAGGTTGCAGTTGGGCATGGGTAAGGGCCCTTGCGCTTCATAGTTCTCCTTATCTCATACGTTTACAGTTTCGATACTGTGAAGACACGTATTCAAGTCGCCCCTGGCCACTACAATGGAGCCATAGACTGCTTTCTAAAGATTATTCGTCGAGAAGTATGCAAATTTATTACACTGAATAACACTATGATTGTGACAATCGGAACTTGGTAGGGACCACTGGCTCTTTACAAGGTACCTTGACCTTTTCCTATCCCATGATGAGTCCTACCTTACCACTCGTTCTCAACGATAGGGTGCGACACCTCCTGCCGTGGGCTGGGCAGCAATAGACTCGGTCCTTTTGGGGTCTCTTCATAACTATAGGTTACATTTAAAAGATTACCCAATATTCTCGGAGCCATCACCTTCTCGCGACAATTCCACCCGACTTACACTGTTTGGTCATGGTATCGCAGGTTTAGGAGCAGGCCTGACAAGGTAACTTAGTCCAGCCAACCATTCTGGTCCATTGATATCCTCTCAGTGCATTTGTGGCCACTCCGATAGAGCTTGTAAAAGGTACGTGATGGACCGGCGACCAAAGAATAAGACAATAATTGCCACAACGCCGCTTTACAGTAAAGCTACAGCTGCAGCATCAAGTACACAAATCAGATAGGCAATTCAAAGGCCCTATCGATTGCGCAAAACAAATATTCCGGGTCCAGGGGATTCGTGGCTTTTGGAGGGGTTTAGCTGGAAGCTTGGCGTTTAGAGCCAATTTTTTCTGGATGTTTTTAACTATAGAGGTATAAATTATTTCACCCGTCTGAGCCTACTCCTAACATACACTTTTCAGGCTCTTATGCGCGCCTCTTCTCGATTAGAAGGCACAAAATTTCAGGCAAGAGAGGCATTGGATATATTCTAAACCTCTAATGACTCTTTTTAGATGAGCGAAGGAACTGCAAACTTCATATGCGGTGGCTTAGCGAGTTTCACCTACTGGCTTGCTGCAATCCCGGCTGATAATGTCAAAAAGTAAGAACCGTTCAAGCATGATTAATGGTTTTCATTACTCAGATCTGCTTCAGTCGCGTTTTCGGATCACCGCTCGACTCGTCTACTTCAGTGAGACAGGTGATTGGTGATATTTACCGTACTGCTGGTATAAGAGGTTTCTATCGTGGATTGGCACCATCAATACTTAGAGCATTTCCATCCAATGCATGTGCTTATTTTGTATACGAAGGTTTATTACGGACTTTTGGTGCCGAAAAGGTACGATAAAAGACGTGTCATTCGATTGGCCCTAATACCCCTCATAGACTCGAGCATAACTATGTCACATATAGCAGATAGCAGGGCTCGAATCTAATAGGTGTTATCAGCACTTCTATTCCATTCCCGACGATATTATTCTTTGCCCTCAAGAACCATGCTATAGATGAGCTTCTTTCTAACCGTGTATGCGAAATCTCGTCACACTAGATGTTCTTTTCATGAGAATGTAGCGACCGTTGTAATAACGACCTCCTTCCAGACCGAGTTGACCACTCTTGAGCCCAGACAAGGTAGAGATAGTTTGAAGAAATTGACAGTAGCCATCTTATTATTGAAAAACGGCGTGTTCAAATATGAGAGAGATTTCGACTAGGATTTGGCAATAAACTATTGAGCGGATGAGCCCCGACGATGGTCTTGCACCCTATCGCCACCACTAAGGTTCGACAGAGGTCGTCTATGAGAGCAAGCTGTATTGGGTATACAACGTCACCATTAGAAATATTAGAATATGCAATCATATTGAAAGGGATAAGCTACGGACTTGGCCTCTACTGAAATACTACACCAAGCGGTCGCAGTGAATACGAGTTCGAACTTGAACCTCACCACACCCTTGGCCAGATCGTCACATCAACGCGATGAGTTCTCAAGGATTGAACTCACTTGCCACGATCATCAAACGGTATGATTGGCTCTCCTCAAAGGTTATGGATGGGGAAAGCTGATCCGATCTCCTCAGCCTAGAGGCGGCTACGTCCCGTCTCGAAGACATAGCAGTTGTACAGTCTGGTGGTGCAATATCCTTTCCAGACTCTGCACCTGCAAGGCCCGCTTCGACCGTACTAGCACCGCGTCCCACCTCTCCAGAGGCCCGCAGAGATGGGTTTTTATGGGTCATCTCGGACTTGTCGACCTTTTTCAAGTTTTTGGTCACATCAGACCCTTGATTGATCTGCGCAAAAACGGCAGCTGTCCCCGTTAGTCCTCCAGATGATGCGGAGCCTGAAGCTTGCGTCAGAGTTGGAGGAAGTGGAGGCGGGACCGGTATTGACGATGTAGGTTCGGGTGCTGCCTTTGAGCTAAACTCGGTCGCTTTCCCACCCTATAAAGATAAAGTAAGGCTCCAATGAGGTGGCCATAATATTAGGCTTACCTTTGGATTCCAGACTAAGCCCATCTTATGATACTCTGTCACATACTTGATCAACTCGTCCAGGAGACCAATATACGAGCGAACCCAGTCC